GCGGCATCGTTTTGATTAAAAGTCATTCTGGGGTCAAAAATTTTAGATCAGATCAATCAATTAAAAAGTTTTTTTGATGGCATCTAAGTACTATAATTTACGCCAGGATAATTTTGGACGAAGCATCACTCCAATCCACATATGAGATCAAAAATGATCCAAAAAATCCTTGCTGTAACAATGCAAAATGCATAAGAATCCCGCATTTGCAGTCTTGTATATTCTTGTACTGAATGCCATGCACATTCTTCTTGGGTGGGTTGTACACGTTATATTCCTGGAAAGCATGTAAATTGCGCATCATTGATAGGAGTGATCTATGGCTATGTTTTAGTAAGGAAAAGCAGTTTTATTTGTAAAGGTACTGTATTGTATGAGCAGACTTGTGTAGCAATGCACAATTATTCTGTGTATTATCAGCAGTGGCAGTTCTCTCAACTAGGACATGCATAATCTAGTTATTAATATAAATAGTACGTGGATAATGTAATGACATAGTGCATATGGGTTAGCAATGTATAAAAAATACACTCGTGTTCTATTTTAATCATATGTTGTTCATTCGAGCATATGCATGATGTAATTAACTATCAATATACCGAAAGGAAGTGGTTTGAGTTTAAGAATGACAATGAGCGACTCTCAACGATAAAGATTGCAAAATGTCAGGGGTGAAATGTTATAAAAATAAAGCAAAAGAGACCATGAATATGAGCATTATATTTATATACCATTTGCTAATGGGATAGGACAAATGAGGGATATTTGATTAGCTGTTAATTTTTGAAAGGTTGATCTAGCTATCATATCAATGCTAGAATAGCAGTTTGATGCCAAGTTGGTCACAAGTCGAGATTGTAGTTTTGGCAATGAGCTGTGCTCCATAGACTATTCCAGTGCCAACTTATTCAAAGATTCACATTTAATAGAATCTGGAGTGATTGCACAAAGAATGGATTGGCATAACATATTTGACACCTGTCAATATATTATTTTCAATCCCAATCGTTGAATGATATAATTTACTTACAAGGACTTGCCAGCACAGTTAATGTTGTGTGTTGACAGCAATTACCGCCTCGTTTGTAAGATTATAACTGATTTTTCTGTCAAATTTGACTATTTAAAAATTTTTAATCCATACATCTTAATGAATATTGCACAGATGAGAAAGACATACAAGGCAATTTCTAGTTTATTTGTATTCATGGAAGCTACACTCCACATCCCAGACAGTGATAAAGATACAGCTTCAGACGATCATCAAGTAGCTATTGGAGGCTCTGTGAATAGGCCACAGACAGTGCATTCCTCACACTATAGCTTTGAAAGATATCCTGAGAATGAAACTAAAGTATCTATACCTTCCCAAGGCATTACATCTATTGACAGTAATATTAAGAGACTAGTGAAACTAAAGAAACTATATCTCTGGAATAACAACCTAAAATCATTACCACCAGAGATAGGAGAACTAAAGAATCTACAAGAGCTGAGTCTTAGTGGTAACAAGCTCAAGGCATTATCAGCCGAGATAGGAAAACTGGTGAATTTACAAGACTTGAACCTCAATGGTAACGAATTTGAATTATTACCAGCTGAAATAGGAAAATTAGAAAATCTAAACGTGTTGTACTTCCGTAGTAACAAGCTAAAGACATTATCAGCAGAAATAAGAGAGTTGAAGAATCTACAGTATCTATATCTCGATTATAACAAGCTTGAGACACTGTCAGATGTAATAGGAGAATTGAAGAATTTACAGTATCTACATTTCAATTACAACAAGCTGAAGTCATTACCAGCAGAAATAGGAGA